ATAATAAAACTTTGTATTTAGTTCCAACTAGAAATAATTTACACAAAATATAACAAATTAAAATACAGGCGTGAATTAGGCACCTTTAACCCATAGTATACCCAGAATCCTTTACTGGACAGAAGAAGATGAGGATATGCTATCCCATGTTATGTTGGTGATGAAGCCAGTTTTCACATTTCAGGCTATGTAAATCGCCATAATGTGAGAAAATGGGGGCGGAACATCCACACGCCAGAGTTCAACATTTGCGAGAGAGTCCGAAAGTGACTGTTTTCTGTGCTCTGTTCAAAAAGATTTATGGTCCGTTTTTCTTTACTGCGACAACTTTAACCTGAATTGTTTACTTGGATATCCTCCAAGACTGGTTAATGCCTCGCCTTAATATAGGCTTCGGAGAAAATTTAATATTTCAACAAGTTGCGGCACCACCCAGCTATCACAACGTAGTATCAAGATTCCTAATTGGGAACCTGACCGGACGATGAACTGGTCGTGGAGGACCAAAGGCATAGCTTCCCAGCCCGCTGCCTATTGACTTCTTCCTATGACGCTGCGATAAATTCTATTTTATGTCCCTCCTCTACAAGCTGTGGAGTCCACTGACACAAATACCCTAACAAAGCATGCAACGGGTTCAAATATCGTTTGTATGTGGTCAGGGTTAGTTACAGGTTGAGAAGGAGTAAGTTTTTAAGTTACTACTCCGAAAAATGTAAAGCTGACATTTGTTTGTCGGTTAGTTTACTCGCAATACATTTTCTAAAGTCTTCAGTTCTCTTCTAACATTCCTGTATATTTCAATTTACCAACCAAAAAGTTACCGATACTGTCCGCAAGCTGTACAGTAACAATGGTATTATTAAGACAATATATCCCGAAGCGTGGTACGCTGGTGGACAATAATGAGAAGTAAAGATATTTACACGAGCGTATAAAGTCTGGTTCCATCAGTAGGAAACTGTATACATTTCAAATAATTCGTTTTATTCTTCACACCAATAACTTTCTTCTCATGAATTAGCACTGTTTCTAGACCATAAATTGTGAAGAAGTAAGATTTAGTGTAAAGAATCGTTCGAACTATTACTGAATTTAATCCGCTTCAAGATTTGTGCTGTTTCATAAAACGAAAATCCACAGCAGCTAAAAATGGAATACATCTTCAATAACTCTCATTATCACCATTGTATCCATGCGTCTGTATGCGAAGTGAGCTATCTGAGAACAGTTTGTAACGGCTTCTTGGTCTCCACACCTTCAGGAACGTAATGTCACTCTCACAGCCAATGAGATCAGATATCGAAAGACAGGACAAAAACATCAATACTTCGACGAACACAAACTGCTTTCTGAGTTATAAAAGGCTGGTTAAGATCGATTATCAACCAGATAAAAACATAGGGAAATCACTGTACGAAAGAACTCTCTATAGTTACTATGAGTAATAGAATGCGGTCGCATTTTATGCGAGGACTGCGTTCTTGAAGACCTCGCATAACATATATGATTCTTGCCGAACTTTCTGAGTCAGCATTATTCTAAACTTTGCGCAAAATGAGTCTTTATTATTTTTTTTAGATCGCAATATTTCAAATTCATATTAAATGTGACCGCACAGTAGCTCGATCATAGTTTCGCGCAGTCTACGGCGCTTAACAATTATTACACTTGACTTAAGGGTTTATCGTACGAGACACATATTCATGAAATAAGGTACTTATTTAACTAATTTGTATTGCTAGTGGGGTGGGACTAAGTCCCTTGTACTGCGGCCACTTCTGGCCTATTGTACCAGCCCGATGATAGGTGAGGGTCATTGTGGAGCAATTGGTGGAATGAAGATTGGCAGGGGAAACCGAAGTGCTCGGAGAAAACCTGCCCCAGCGCCACTTTGTCTACCACAAATCCCACTTGACCAGACCCGGGATCGAACCCGGGCTGTCGCGGTGGGAAGCCATGAGCTATGGCGCGGCCTACTTATTTAACTAACTCCATGGAAAAGAACCCTTCTTGAGACGACCAACTGTCGCTTTACTCTTCTATGGAATCGTAACGTTAATTGCCGTGCTGCATTAGAAGTTCTCGCCACGGTGACTATGAAGGGTACGATCTTCTGAGTTACAACGCCGTGCAGTTCGGAGAGGGCCCGACGTTTCTAATGAACAACTCTCCTCGATCTTCAGGGTCGAAGAGAAAGCCACGTAAGCAGACGCAAGTGGCAACCTGAGCACCGTCGGTCTCTTTCCGAACTACAAGACGTCACAAGCCAGAAAGCCACACTGTTCATTAATTACTGTATTCACAAGTGCCCACCACTGGTTCCTACTCCAAACCATAAGAATCCAACAGGCATGCTCACATCTCATGTATTTAACATCCATCGTAATATTACCCTTCCATCTAAGTCTAGGTCTTCCACACGGTCTCTTCCTTTCACGTTTACCGAATAAATTTTGTAAGCATTTCTCGTCAATCCCATACATGATTCGATGCGATGTACAACTTATTTAACACAATATAAGTGTAAGAGTTCACGTTGGTAGTTAATGCAAATTTCTGGTCCTAACAGGCTGATACCGCAGGTAAACTAGAAGTACAAGGGTACGGAGGCCACTAGTGGCAACACATTAAGAGAAAGCTCTCCGAAATCTGTAAAGCTGTTCAAACGTTGTCAGGGGACATATACATGGAAACACGAACATATGGCGAGACAATCTTTCCTCACAAAATCAGCAGAAGTAAAACTTGTATCGCTATTGCAGTACTGAGTACCGTGAAAAACCTAACAAATTTCATACATCTAAGAGATCTGCAGGTTGGTCTTGTAGTAACTCTTCACACATGCAATCAGAGGTTCTCGGTTCCAATCCCGGATTGTACATCGGCTATCCTACGGATTCTCGTGGTTTTCCTCAGTCCCTCTATGCAAATGATGGGACATTGTCTCGATTAGGTTACAGTCACTCACTCCTGAATCCTTTCCAGCTAGTCAGTCATCCTATCACTGGACAGTATGTAGTCCAGATGAGTGCTTTTCAGCTTAATCTGGCCATGGAATACTTTCGCAGTCGAAAAATATTTAAGGAATCCCTAATAAAGTCTTATGAAACATATGAAACTAAGAAAGACTAGACCAAAAATATGTAACAATAATAAGAAGTAAGCTTTAAACAAGGATACGAGATCACAATACTATTTAACTGCACATTTTTAAAAACAAGAGTCATATTTCATGTATCTCATGACACATGTATGTCAGAAATGACGCTTATAAACTTATATAACACATTTTTGCAACTGTCATTGCGAAGTGGTTTCTTCTTCTTCACAAATCCTTCTTATGTTTGGTCTGATATTGGAAAGTTGAATTTTCCAATCTGGCGCTGCATGTAGTCTGTTTATGTATTTTGTTATCATTTTCTTATGTTGTAATGATATTTTCTTGCAGAATTCCGTGGAACGTCACCTGGGAAACGCTGGGTCTAGATACTGACAGCATCGTAAAGTAACCCACAAAGAAAATTTGCGGTTGACGGTTCTTGTCATAGGATTCTATTACTTTAGGACAAAATGATCTCACACCGAACCGGGTGATATAATGTCAACGCTCTGGGCTTGTTTGCCGGAGATGTTCGGTTCGAATCTCGGCCGGAACACAGACTATCCTGACTGAGACTTTTCCTAGATTTCCTCGGTCCCTCTAGGAAAACGGCGGAATAGTACCTGGATCTGGCCACGACGGCTTCCTCAAATAATCTTACCATTCGACGCTATACAGCCCAGATACTGACGTAAAATAACCCACAAAAAAATATTCCACGCGCACGAAGGTGGGGGATACACCGAAGCAGAGTTAACGAAAATCGCGGTCTCTTCGGTTAGCAGAAACTATGGGCGAGTGAAAAGCCANCGCTACCGGACGAGGTTTGACAAATTAAACCAACTCAACTACTATGATTGATAACACTCATTTCAGTAGATGTATTTCCAGCAGACACATCTGAACACTGCAGGTTGATGTCTCGTCACGTAAATGGAAGACGAAACAGAAATGGAAGAAGGGCTAATAAACTGAAAATGCGTGGACAACAGTAGCAAATCAAAATTATAAGCATGCTGGAATTGAGAAGTTAAATTCGGGTAGTAGTTCTCACAATTCAGTTCAGAATATATTTTAAATTCCCGTGTCGTATCCAAAAACCTGTTAAGACTAATGTAGAATTTGGTCTCTGCAAGGTAAAAGACAGATTGATCGTGTCTGAAATACAAAGCGCTGAAGAATACATTAAGGCATCATAAATAATCAAACAGTCATTAAATTAGAAACTAACAGGTGGATGGAAGATATCCCATACCCAGGGGCTGCATAACTTGTACTCATAACATGATGTTAAATGATTAAAAGATGATTATATGCGCGGTTAAAGTACCATGCATGGGATTTCCTGGTCTGTACCTTCACTTACTACTGGTAGAGAGAAAAATCAGGGATTAGATGGGCGAGACACGAAGTACGCATGAGGTAAATCCGAATTACAAAGGTTTGGTATGGGCAAAGGAAACAGACACATGGAAAACAAAGGCACAGACTGGATGATATTAAAATTTTCCTTAAAGAAATATGATGTAAAGGTGGGGTTAGTCTGAACTGGCTACGGAGAGGAACTGTGAACGCGGTAATAAAAACACTCTGGCTCCTTAGAAACAGGTATTAACTTACCTGCCTGCTTGATAACTATAAATTTCTCGAAGAACAGCCCGTATCCACGGGCGCCTGCAGAACTTCTTACTGATCGCCCTAGCCTACTCAGGACAGAAAGGGATTAAAAAAAATGCTCCCATAAACGCGACAGAAACCAGTTCGATACCTGAATGCTCAAACACAATGCTGAGTCAGCAATTCTCAGTGTAATACAGACAGCGCTGTAACCCCCTTCCCAAATTCTCAAGCATTCAATTATGAAATTACTACTATTTGCAACAAAATTTCCACTTACCGCTACAGCCAGATCCAAGACCGCTCTCTTGATGTGATGTGTTTCTGACAGTACTTTAGTTTTATATGGTGTCGGCTGCTTACCACCCAAACTCTCGGGGGGCAGACCCAACACTTCTCCCCATTCTAATTTCTCACAAATCTGAAAAATAAAGCAGTAATGTCAAACAACTATGTATTCAAATGAGTTGTATACATAAAGTTTGGGAAGCGTATAGCAATCTATGCTTCACATTTTATATTTTTATAACGGCTTACCATACAGAAGTAAATATAGTATGATTTATCTATCATTCATATACTTCAATAAAATCTAAGAATCAACTAATATTCCTATTCATGGTAGGTTTGTTAATCTGACTGCAGTAAAAACTACAAGTTATATAAGAGATTTCATACTGCGAATTTGACACGGTAACTCCAGTATTCAGTGTTTACCACATAAAATTCTATGTGGGCCCCCCAAGTACAAATTATCATTCATTGCCAGCTTCTGGCAGAGAAACTTAAAATTACAGTATAGTTCTGTATATACCTGCCTATGTGAAGAAAGACTCGTCAAAAAAAACTGTAGCCTTCATTAGTCATATTTGCTGCTTATCCCCTACGTATCGACTGGATTTCAAACGGTCTGCCAAGTTACCACATTAGTTTTGTTTCTTATCAACTACCATTCTAATGTTCAACACTGATACTGATATTGGATATATGAAGCATATGACTCCAATGAATGAATGGCGGTAAGGTGGGGAAGGAAATATCATACATACTTACGTCGGACGTGAACGGAGACAGTTTTGTCTCTTAAGGTACTATCCTAGCATTTTAGTTGCTGCACAAAGGAAAATCAACCAAGTTTCAGAGCACAGATTCAAACACGGAACATCCAGATTAAAAATCAGGCACAATGGTAACCATTACATCACTACCTTCGGTCCTCACTCTCCCGCGTAGATTCTTAAGTAAAGGATTGTTCACGAGAAACTCCTTTATGCTTCTTTCCAAGTTTCACTCAGTGTATCTCGATGAAGTTCCTTCACGCGTGGGTTCTACATATGAGAAGTAACTTAGAAATGAGCCAGAAACTTACTATACAGAAGACGAATCGATAGGTGAAACAGCGATAAATCCAAAGGTAAAAAGGTAAAGTTGTCCTTGTACTTAATTAAAGCACCATGCCCTGAAGATGTATGGAGTGAGGTATTCTTAACCTCGGCAGGAGATGGATGTCAGTGGTCAGCTTCACGCCCCGGCAGCTTAACCCCTGGGGTAAACCCCTCGTTATCCACTGGATACGGGGCTGAGTGAGGCCCAGAGCCGGGCTGAGAGATTCCCTGCCGGGAATCGAACCCCGGCCGTCGAGCCCATAAACCGTCGCTATACAGACTGAGCTCCCCCAACAACAAGAATTTTCTTTTGTGATTCAAACCGCATCAGTGAACACATAAAGTAATTAGTAACATAGCACAACTGCACTCAAACATAGCAGTACTATTCCGCTCACCTTAATTTCAAGTAAGACGCACATGGGGATGTTGACTAGCTTTAGGCCAAGCAGACCTCAATGCCAGTCATTCACAACTTTCGCGCCAAGACACTATATCAAGAATCCTCCAATCGAAACCTGTAGAACCCTCATTTACGTGTGTTTCTTAGTCCCTCCGCTTCAGAATTGGAAGATTATTTCAGAATATCTCTTGGTCGTTCCAACAGCAATCTTCTCTATTTCATAACTAAGTCATACATAAACTGGTATGCACCTTCACTGGCATAAGAACAGCAACTAAGCTGGGAGGTGTGAAATGATCCAAAACTAAATATGGTAGCACAGATGGTACTCTGCCATTACGGGATGTGATACTACTACGACACACAAATCAACTTTCCTTCCACAATTCGTACGTCGGAATAGTGCAAACGATAAGATCCATCTATCGAATAATATTGCGACATCATGTCTGAAAGCAGGAATAGTTCGCTGTTAGGCAACGGCCGTAAACAGGTTCCCGCGGAAATGTACACGCACGCAACAACAGAAGAACTACCGTTTCTATGCAACGGTGAGGTAGGCACACCCCTATAACAAGAGAGGAATTGTTAGGAAACGGTGTTTCTATGTGGTTCATGCCCAGTTGTTATAAGCAGGAGAGTTTGAAGCAACAGGTAAGTTGTCAGAATTAAGAGTCTCTGGAGATGGCAATCGAATAATTGAGAAGAGATGGCAAGAAAGGAATTAGTCCGTGAAAAGAAGACTTCATATGTGCTGCAGTTACAGTGAGACTGTTATAGTTCCTGTGTTAAAATCCGTTACCAGAAAAAGACTAGTGGAGAGTGTAAGAACGGTGAACTGTATATGGTGTAGATCAGCGATAGCGGTGTAACTGGCTGTAGTTCAAAATGATGCGTATATGGTGTCAATAAATCCAATCATCCAATCCAAAACCACGTCTAATAATCACACTCCCAAATACGTGACAATATCGTCAAAGAATTCAAATTAATTCATTTGGTACAACATATGTTCTTCGAATTAATTTCAACGTTGTCTTCCCACTTACGCAGAGGTCTTCCATGCATGGAGTCCTCATTAAAACAGCACGTTCATCCCTTGTATGCTCCATGTCCTTCCAAGCAAGGAGTCCTCACTAAAATCGCACGTACTTCCCTCGTACGCTCCATGTCCTTCCAAACAAGAAGTCCTCAATGAAATCGCACGTACTTCCCTCGTTAGCTCCATGTCCTTCCAAGCAAGGAGTCCTCACTAAAATCGCATGTACCTCCCTTGTATGTTCCAGCAGAAACATTCTTGAGCAGCTAACAGGTGCTAAGCTAGTCATAAATTTCCCGCACCTTATAGAAGCCGGACGTTAAATACAGTATTCATAAGAGCAAGTCACTCTACCCTATCCACAAACAGACGAATCCAGTCCACTTCTCATGCCCTATTCCGTTACGAACCATTTCAATATCACGCTCACATCTACACTCGATCTTTCAAACTGTCTCTTCCTCTTAATTTTTCTTGCATAATTTTCTATGGAATAAGAGTTTAAAAATCAATTCGGATTTTTCAACAAAAGCAGTTACAATGTTCCCACATATAACATAAAAATTACGCTGTTCTTTATAAAGTGTTCATTATATGGCCCGAAGACAAACAGTGCCTCGTAATGTGGTGCTTCGAAAAAGAAAGTTGTGCATCACTGAGATAATACGCAGTACCTGCATAGAACCATACTGTAAGTTACTGCAGGCATTGCAAGGAAGTAGATGGGCGTATTCACTATCTGAATCCACGATCCATTACATTTACCCAATGTGAAAACATTGAAAAGGCATCTAAATTCTATATACTACGTACAAACTGGAAATTATATGAACATTAGAAGCATATCTGAGAAGGCAAACGGATAGTGTAATCACATTTCCAATATGACTGAGAGGGCAGATAAAATAGCTGTATTCCGGAAAGAAGAGATCCGTATGCACAGCTAAACAGCAGCAAATCACAGGCTCTTGGGGGCACTAACGCAAAATATCATAAATTTCTTAACTTTGCACTATTTCAGACAAAGTTCTGGTAGTAGATAACTTGCCTCAACCAACTGCTACCAGGCCAGAGACAGCCCCTTTAACGTATCAATAAGTAAATTATAATTACGGCCGTTTGTTGGATACGGCAAATCGGGGACAACGCCACAGGCCCCTCAATTCGGTACCATGCTATTTGTTTAATTTTGTGGTTTCGACCAATTTTTGTTAAGCAGCGTGTTCACGATTTGGTAGGGCCGTGGTCTCAACAAACCATAAAAATGCGTCATTAAGACCTCTCAACGTTTTAGTATTACAGCAGTTACCTACCTCAAAGGAGTGTGAGAAAGTTCGTAATAATCAACGAACATTACTAATTACTGCACATGTGCCACTTAATCTCGGGAACGACGGATCAGTAACTTACAGCTAGAAACGTTCCTACGGCAAAAACGGGGCGAATGCCCCAAGCCACGAAAATCGACATCATCACGGTAACTGTTTAATTTTGTGGTTTCAACGAATTTGACTTTGTTGAGCAGACAATTCTTTGTTTGGAAGGATGTGGTTTCAACAACAGGCACTAAAAACAGGCGGTGAAGACCCGTCAGTTTTTAAAAATGCGCCGAGTTATCTCAAAGGCGTATGCGACTTCTCGTAAAATCAACAACTCCGGTAGAACGCCGATTATCTGAATTAATTAGTGACAAAGTGGTTCGGATAATCGAAAACTCAAATAATTGGATTAAATTCTCATCCACGAAAAAAAAACACTAGTATAATGTACTGTAGTATTATAATAATAAAACTAAAAACACTTTTAAAATAGGAGAAACACGAAAAATTAATAAATGTAATTTCATACTACTGTGCTCCATTTTACTCTACACGTCCCACCTAGTTTGGAGAGGGGAAATTTGCAACCAGGAAAAGAAGTGGCCCAATTGCCTAAAAGGTTGATCACCCCTGGTCTAGATCAAAGGACCGTCAATGCGAGTGATGTATATAGTTTGTTTCTCGTTATAATTATTAATTCCGCAAAGGTAACGGGTGGAGGTGGTAGTAACTTATCAATACAAATTTGGCACAGATGAGTAAGAGGCAGTTTGCTAATAACGATGCGCCCAGCGATCGCCTGAGGCATGTGACGATACACTAGCATGAATACAAGTCAGTACTACTGTATTTTCTGTGACGTTCGAATCTGGCAAGGATACCACGAAAGCAGAAATTTTGCTAAAAGCTTCAAAGGTTATCCGGCACACGTACTCTTTGCCAAAGGATATGTTAGATTAGAAGTTCGACAATTTTATTTCTAAACTATAATTTTGCCTGTGGCTCTGTATGGGTGTGAAACTTGGTCTCTGACATTAAGGGAGGAAAAACACTGAGGGTGTTTGAGAAAGGTATTAAGGAGAATATTTGGAACGAAGAGAGAAGAAGTGACAGGAGGTTTGAGAAAACTGCATAATGAGTAGCTTCATAACTTGTACTCTTCTCCAAGTACAATTAGAATGATCAAGTCAGGGAGGATGAGATGGGCAGGGCATGTAGCACGAATGGGGTAGAAGAGGAATGCATATAGGATATTGGTGGGAAAGTCAGAAAGAA